CAGCTGCGGGCGCTGAGCGGGATGATCGCGGGCTCGCTGCCCCCCCGCCTGGTGAAGCTGGCCCAGGAGGTGGGCGCCAGCCCCGCGGGCCCCGCCGGCTGGGCGGGCGGCAACGACACGGGCTGCGGGGAGCAGATCCTGAGCTACGGCCAGGCCGAGAAGGTGGTCATCGGGGCCGTGCTGTCGCTGCTCACGCTGCTGACCATCGCGGGCAACTGCCTGGTGGTGATCTCCGTCTGCTTCGTCAAGAAGCAGCGGCAGCCGTCCAACTACCTGATCGTGTCGCTGGCGCTGGCCGACCTGTCGGTGGCCGTGGCCGTGATGCCCTTCGTCAGCGTCACGGACCTCATCGGGGGAGAGTGGATCTTCGGGCGCCTCTTCTGCAACGTCTTCATCGCCATGGATGTCATGTGCTGCACGGCCTCCATCATGACCCTGTGTGTCATCAGCATCGACAGGTGAGTGCAGCCTGGGGCCCTTGTGCAGTGCGGGGGCCACCGCTTCTCCGGGCCGTCACTTCTGTTGCCCCAACACTGCCGGGGGGGGGAGGCCCCCCCCCTTATCCAACTCCTGCATACTTTCCACACACCACACCAGGGAGGGGAGACCAAACCCCCCACCTTTATAGGCCTCGATCTCCCAGCACTTGGCTTCTCTTTGGCTAACAGTGGCTGCTACACCTGAGAATTTCTTTCCGCTCCTCCTCCGTGCCGGGCTAACTCGCTGGGCCTGGCTTCCTTGCCTGTGGAGACCTGAGGAAGAACGTCTTGTGCTGGAAAGCTTGACTTTACCCCAGTCATGGAGTTGGGTGAATACGAAGATGTCACCCTAAGAAATCCTTGCCTTGCACTGGGTCGCTTGGGAAGTTTGCACGCTGGGGTCTGGGTTGCCGGTTTGGGCTGAGTAGCGCAGTAGAGGGCACTTCCAGTAGAGGTCTCTGGTGCTTGTTTATTTTTGCTTTGGGAAGCCATGAAGACAGTCTGCGTAGAAAAGCCGAGGGTAACTTAAAAAAACCCCCAAACTCCAACCAAAGCAAGTTATTTCAAGTAAAGCCTGGTCCTTCTGCGATACCATTCAGCAATGACACTATTGTCCCATTGGGAAACTTTGCTGTTAAACTCTATCTTTTGTAAAGGAAAAAAATCATCAAGACTAACAAAAAGGACAAGGTTTACGCAAATTTTCTCGTCTCAGTTTGCATGACAGATTAAGCAGGTTTTTATCAATAACAACTTTACAGCTGTACCATTAGCCTCTTTACTGAATGCAGTTATGAACATGGACCCCTTTGGGCCTGATTCTCCTCACGTTTACATCAGTGTAACTCAGCTGAACTCAGTGGGTTCACTCTTGATTCATTCAAGTGTAAATGAGCAAAGAATGAGGTGTCTAGGCTTAGTTAGCTTTTGGTTATGCTGGTGCAGCTCTAGGATTGCCACATGCAATGTGGATTAATGCAGCTGTGACTGAGAACAGATTTTGGTCCCTTCTTTATGCTTTACTAGCGCTTTCTTCTCTGTCAAAGAGCCAAGCTGCTCATCTTCTGAAGAAATAATTCGTTAAAACTTTGGATGTTAGAGTGATGCCAGTCAGGGAACTGACTGCTGAAGGATTTAGCAGTAATTCATTTCTAACGTTTTAAGAGCCAAACTACCTATTCTGCCAGTACCTTAGTTCTCCACAGCAGTAGGGAGGGGAGGCTTGCTTCTCTGCTTGTTTAGTTTTGACACAAGTTAGTTCGTAGACCACTCCACTGGCCCTGCTATTTTGATACCCTGAGGCGTGAAGTAAAGTGTCGTGCTGCTTCACCACCAACCTCCCTCTTTCCATTGGGATATCCACTGTGCTGGGTGGCACAGTGCTGGCTCCATAAGTCTTGCATCACCAGGGATTTCCTATGTCCAAAATGGTTTCACCGAAAGGAAAGGCTTGTGTGTCCAGGTAGTATAATGGAGTTGGAGCAAAGGAAATAATCTGTTTCTTGTTGGAGCTAGTGAGATTTTTTGCTGCTTCTGTCAAAAAACCTTGGCCATATCACATTTTTAGAATATTTTGTGTGTTTCTGAATTTTCTATTGCAGAGAAATTGCTATGTGTTTTCTGTATGCCTCTGAAACCCTTAGATAATCATATCGGAACTGCAAGTTGATTTTATGAAACATCGGTCCCTTTCGCAGCTGCTGGCATTGGTAGGGACACGGGGAATTGCCTTACTGGAGCAGAGAAATGGTTCATTTAGTCTCGCATCTTGTCTGAAATTGGCCTGTTTCAGTTACTTGAAAAGAAGGTGCAAAAATCTTGCAGTATACATTTATGGCTAAGGTACCCTCCAGAAGAGTTTCCTGCAATAATCGGGGGTTTTCATATGCCCCAAAATATTGGGATTTATATCCCTTCCAAAACACTTCTTTATCAGAATTTGTTGTCCCAGTGCTGCATACTTTTATTAACCCTATAGATGGCCGGTGCTTATTTGGATCCTGGTAGGAATCTGGTGGTAAGTTCTGTAAGCTAGCTTTGCCTGAGCCGTAAAGTATTTTTTTCATCGGTTTTAAATTTTCTGTCTTTAAATTTAATTCTTGTAAAGAGCAATTGCCTGATCTCCCCTCTCTCTACTGTTCATTGTTCTGTACTTGTCTCCAAGGTGAACAATCCCATTTTTTTTTCAGTTTCTTTATATGGAAGCTTTCCACATTTCTAACCATTCCTGGCTTCCCATCTCTGAACCCCTTTTCCATTATTTCTGCTCTCTTTTTGGAGAGAAAATAATCCAAACAGAACTGTCCAGGTAAGGATGTGCTACTGATGACAGTAATATGGTATTTTTCACACCGTTTCTTATAGCCTATCATTTTATTTGCTGTTTTTGGTACATTGAACAGAGGTCTTCATTGAGCTGTCCACAATGATGCTCTCCCATCCTGAGGTATTATGCTTTAACACCTGAAAATGGATATTATGCCTGTGTATCGAAGAAACAATGTGACCCTTTAAGAATGAAGGCAGGGTAGATTTACACCTTACAGGTTAACTAAATCGGAGATGCATACGCTTTTGTAAACAACACCTTGCTTCATCAATGCTGTGAAGGACCCTTACATGGGATTCAAAATGCCTTAAAGAGCTATGGATTTGATGGAAATGTCCACATTTTTTTTTTTTTTTTATGTTGCTTAAGGAAGAAATGTTGCTGGAATACAGAACTTCCATTATATCAAGAAATTATACACTAAGGCAGCAAGTGGGTGAAACTGATTAGATGGGAGATGATCCTCTGGCATCTCTGGGTCTTTTGCTTTAAGTAAAGATACTAGTGCAAGTCTGACAAGGTCCTGTACACCATGTTTAAGAGTACCAACAACACCTAAATAGCACCTCAAGCTTTCTGTGGCCTTTCTGGCCCTGGGGTGAGAGGAGTGAGTGAATTTTACCCTCTCCAGGAATAACTGCAGTATAAACTGAAGCTTGGCACTGTGGAACAGTGCACAGAGCCTGTATTGTTATCCAGTTTGTCTCCCTGCTCAGCAAGGGAGGGGGCGGGCTAAGTCACGTGAGGACCCTTTTTTTGTTTTTTTCATTTAGAGAACTCTTAACTTTTTTTGGAACAGAGATGGAAAGAGAGACGGTCCAAGGGAAATATTTGAAAACTTCAGCATTTAATGTACAATAGTGGTGGTTTTTTTTTGTTTTGTTTTGTTTTTATTTTGTTATGCTTTAAAAAAAAAAAAATTAGGAAGATTTCTGAGTTAATTTTAGAAGGCAGGGAGAGGGGTTCTGATGTGAGATTACTTCCTTGCATCAGCCAATCAGTAGAAGACGCTTGCATGACTTAAATCCCACTGAAAGTTAGAAGATTCTCAGACCTTGGGTTGGCTCCGTGTGCAGGGGGAAATTTCACCCTCTGTTGTGATGCTCAAGAAGAGTATGCTTGCAACTGTGTCAGCTCAGCTGAGTTCATATAATATGACTGAAAATGTCTGATATGCAGGCTAGTGGGAACTTGCTGCATAGCCAGCTCCCATGGCTGGAAACCTGATTACCCGCAATGTAATGTAGCAGGGATTTTCAGGTATGTTAAACTAACTCAACTGATAAGCACTGTCTCATTTGCTCTTTAAGATGCATGCTCTAAGGTGGCCATGTCCATGTGAGCATGGATGTTTGTTTCCCTGGGGACAAGAAGCAGCAACACACCTTGTGCATGGCAGGTTACCCTGGTGATGTAGGGTAGGCTGAGGCTCTTGAGCATGTGAAATGGGTATTTGTGCCTAAATACTGACTTCAGAATTCACATACAGGATGTGAGAACTGCACCCCTTCGGTGTAACTGAACATCTAAAGTTGTTTCAAGTTCTTGAAGAAAAAAGGTAATCCGTATCAGTGCTCCAAATAGTAGTAATGAATGTCATGTTTAGACTGCACAGGATGTTAAAATGGCAGTACAGCGATCACCAACACTTTAGGACTAGGGACAGACATTTCAAAAAGTTGTAGCCTGAACTGATTCAACCTTTGCAGGTAAGTCTAACCTGCCTAGGTCAAGCCAGTTTGTAACAGCACAGGCTGCAGTTGCTCAGGCACATGCCTGCAGTTGCTCAGGCCAGGGGCAGGGAGTGCTAGAGCACACCCTCTGCTGCAGCAAAGCTGTGCTGAGGGAGCATGGCCAGTCTGGGCTGAACTGGTCAGAGAGGGGTTTAATTTTGCCCTCCCTGTCCTATCAGCAGGGACCTGAGCCCGGTCTGCCTGGCGCACCCCCCTGCCACAATGCACAGTGCTGCTTGGGGCTGGCGGAGCTTCCTTCAGCCTGGCAGCTTCAGCCCAGCTCAGGTTGAAGCTGCTGGGCTGAAGGAAGCTCCCCCAGCCCTGAGCAGCTCTGTGCAGAGTGGCAGGAGCTGCTGGAGGTGAGGGGAGAAAAACAGCTATGCTGGGCCAAGCCTTTTTCCGCTTCATGGAGTACAGAAATAAGAAGTCTCACCTCCGTGGCAACTGTCCTTTATCTTATGGGTATATCTCTGTAAGAACAGAAATACTTGCCTACAGAATAGGTGACAAAGGATGGGACTGATGGAATTCAGCTTCATCGAGCTCCAGGAGGATTCCAGTTGCTGTATTTCATGGTGTATAGGTTGGGTTTTGAAGCTCAATTTTAGTCTTAAAAATCAAACTGGACTTATATGCTGTGCCGGTACTACTTACAGGGTTTGGGACTGCGCCAGTTGAGCACCAAGCCTGTCCTTGTTTCCATCCCTGTCCCCTGCGAGCAGCGCTGAGCCTGGTGCTGCTCAAAGGGGATAGGGACAGGGTTGGGCTTGGCTGCTATCTACCCAACCTTTCGTGCGGGACCTGTCCCCCCAGGAGAGTTTTGGAGGAACGCTGGTTGTAGAGACCTTGGCAGCATGATTATCCTTCAAGAAACAGTAGTCTACTATAAATACCTAATGCTTTTTCTGTAAATCTTC